GTAACTAATTGCAGATAAACATAATCAAATACAAGATAAATATCTTATTTTAAATATAAAAAATCTAAAATATAATTAGTATAATCATTGAGTTCTAACAGAATACTTAATTACTATCTTTATAAAATATTATATTATTAAATTTAAAATTAAAATTAAATTATAATAAAAAATAAATTAAAGAAATTATATAAAAAATAAAAACTTTTAAATAATTGATTTGACATTAACATTGATATATATATATATATATATATATTTAATTTTTATGATATCTTCAAATTAGCCGGCGACTCATAGGCAATGGCTTGGTTAAGGGAACCCACCGGAGCCGTAGCGAAAGCGAGTCTTCATAGGGCAATTGTCACTGCTTATGGAGTTATTGTCTATCGTTGGCCTCTATGGTATAATCAGTCGGGGGACCTGAGAGGCTGTGGTTTACCCTGCGGCGGATGTCAGCGGTTCGAGTCCGCTTATCTCCAACTCGTGAACTTAGCCGATACAAAGCTATATGATAGCACCCAATTTTTCCGATTATAAATACAAACTTCATACCAATCTATTGAATTGTTTGAATTTTTATGTAAAAGCGTGAGGGAATGCTAGACGTTTGGTAATTTCTCCTCCGACCAGGATGGGCGAGGAGGGATTCGAACCCCCGACACCGTGGTTCGTAGCCACGTGCTCTAATCCTCTGAGCTACAGGCCCCACTCCGTCTGGATCATATTTCTTACATTCTCATCAATTTTATATACTTTATTTGAAAAAAAAGAAGCACGTCCATTCTTCTTCATTTTTAATAAAGTTACCAAACGAAAGGTTTTGTATATTTTATTCAAAAATAAAATCATTATTGTTTTTTTTTTTTAAACACATAATCTATACTATCTATACTATATTATAAAACATTTGACAAAAACTCTTAAAAATAATTTTTTATGCACGAAGTTGTTTATTGATGCATATTACTTGAAATTTAATATTACAAATAAATTATGCATAAGTACAACTTTTTAAAACTCCATACTTGAATTTGTCTAACTAACTGTAAATAAACATAATCAAATATTGGATAAATATCTCAT